CAATTACTGCAAAAGAAAAAGGTTTCTTATAACAACTGAAAACCAACTACATATATTATAATTATATATAGTTAACTCTGGTTTATATATTATAATTAGATTATATTTAATATCAAAATTATAACCATCCAGTGTTTTACAAAAGTTCAATAGAAAAAGTTGAGAACTAGTAAGAACAATTTTAGAATTAAGCAAAAATGAAGAAGTGAAGGCCAAATGGCCTAATCATCAGAACAGTCAAATTGAATCACTTTTACTCTTGTCAGAGGCATGGACAAAAATAATCCAATTTCCTGTTCTAATTAAATGATAGCCAGATAGTTCTGATAGTAAGCAATTTTTAAACCAAAACCGCCCATAATGCAAGTCCCACCTTAGCCCAGTCACATGGCCTGCATTCAAGCATACAAAGTCAATAGCAAACATGCTATAAACTCAATCTATTCATATAACAATCATGCATATAAACTGTATCCATTATGTTTCTAATTCTGTTTATATTTCTATCTTAAACTGTCTAAGATGTGATGATTAATGTGCTTTTCCTTCTTTAGCGATCTGTCAGGCTGCTGTTATATTTGCGTTACAATGCATTTGGCTGTGTGACATTGTTAGCTTCGAACTCAGCTGAAATTTAACGGCTGCTGAAATGTTCGCTAATGCTTTTCTATTTTCTGATGAAAAATTATCCTGCAATCCTCTGCACAATGAATTTATGCTAGATCAAAATCTATAAGCACTGAAACAAATGCATAAGTGAAACATCAGCAGGCCATATAAATTTTCTTCAGAAGCTGCCAGCTTGAGGCCACTGCCCTATGCAATCTGAACAACCAAAAAAATTACATAAAACACTTCTTTTTTTCAAAATGTGAAGTCTAAATAAACTTAAAAAAAGGGGTGATGCAAAATTGACAAAATATGTAAACATGTAAATACATATGTCAAAAGGGGCTAAAACAACTTTTCACAATGTGAAGTATCAATAAACTCAATATACAGTTGAAAAATTCTGAAAGAAAGTCGGCACAGTATGCACACACAATAAATAATAAGCAAAAGGGACAAATAAAAAATGTAGCTAGTTATCTTCAAAAAATAAACTTAAAACACGCAAAATTTACCGCTACTGTAGTTCAGTTGAAATAAAAGTGAAGTCTTCCCAAGAAAATGAAAAGTTTAAATTGCTTTGTTCATTGGCACGTTTGAGAGAGGAAAGGCAGAAGGAATGGTAATACGCAATTAGCGAATTTCGTAAAACTTTGGAAGGTTATAGTTTTAGTATTAAATATAATTTAATTACAGCATAATATTGCTCCTAAAGCACAACTATTCTTTTGGTTGAGATAATATTTATATTTTAAAGATTATGCTTAATTTCTTTTCCTATATACGCGCGGAAAATTTCAGAAATCATTCCCTAAACAAATAGCATTATGAAGATTCTAAATTTATGACAATTTACTTCAAAGCTTGATTTTCCCCCTTAATTTGACTTCTTTTTAATTAAAATTATGTTTTCTAAATTTCCAAGACATAATTTAATTATAAAAGTTATTAATCTCAACTGGAATTTAAATTTTTGTATATTTATTTATATTTCAATTAACACAATGTAAAAGATTTTATGGCCATAAAAAGTAATTAAGGTAAAGGTATAAAAGGTAAACTTTTTTTTTTTTGCATACAATGCTAAATACCAGTTACCTTGTATAAGAAATGGAAATTTTTACGCTAATTGTATTTAAGCAGGTAGTTAAGCTGAATTGCTTGCAGAGGACTTGCCCATTTAAATCAAAGTTTACTATTTATATTGTACTTTTTCATTTTTATGTATTTATTATTGCAATGCTGCATAATAAGAAAATCTGGTTTTGATTTATAATAAGTGTTAATTTTAACATAATTTCATAACTGTGCACAAAAAAATTTTGATTTTATATTGATAACATGGCTTTTATGAAACATGTTTACAAGAATTTCTTCTGCGCTTTTTCAAACAGCTCACAAAATTTACAAATTTATATTTTAGAGACTTTCAAATTGGACTCTTAAATTTTATTTATAGAATGATAGTTTGCTGGTATTTCTAAATTACTTCTTGAAGCCTTCTATTTGTTTCTCATGCATATTTTACAAAATTTTTCTTCCTTTGCTAGCACACTGCTTTCTTTTCAAAAGGCTTTTCTCTTGCCAAGCTTTTTCCTCCTTGAGGGGGATATGCAAGATATCCAAAGAGAAATTTATTACCAAATTAAAATTTAATTGAACAAATTGTCAATAGACATTTCAATTAAAGCACAACCTCTTCACGGCATCTGTAACTTTCCTGCAGTACCCACACTGCTGTAAACTTTTTGGCCAATTGCTATCCAGAACCAAAACAAAGAATGTCCCAAGTTTATAAATAGTACCATGCAACTAACAACACCTCCTCTAAGCTGCTTATGCTTGCTAGCAATGTCTCTTACTTGGCTACTTCTATTCATTATTAAAAATGTAATGCGACATAATCAAAATTAAGGCGAGCAGATTGTCCCCATTGCTCATTGTGCCATGTTATGCCAAAGAGTAATCAACAAGTAATAAAGGTATGTTTGGCTTATCATATGAATTTGTAATTCTCCGTAAGTTCCTGCCATCTTCTACTATGTAATAGACATTTCAGTGATTTTCTAACTTCAATCCACATACAAATGCAAAATAATTGGTGCCTTTCATAGTCAAGTAGTCATCTAATACCAAATTATCTGCAACAAACTAAATTAATTACTCTCTCTCTCACACACATATATGAACAATCTATAAAAACAAAGTGTGAACACGTAAAATTTTTGCAAGTCAATATTTAAGGTAAGAGACAGCTTTATTCATTGCAGTTATGACACATAATTGTTGGAAGGTTATATGCTTTTGGTGGCATACAAAAAGCACCAGGGTGGGGAGATGCCAGTATGACAAACCTCATTCTTCAATACATTTATCAGGGGAAAAGATGTTTTATAATTGAAGAGATTTGGTAATTGCAAAACAGTCCATCTTTTTTTAATGCTCACATTGGGTTTATTATTCAGCATAAAAATAAAATTTGTAATGAGAAATGAGACAGACTGTATTACTGCAAATTTTGTTGTTATTAGCTTTTATCAACTGATTAAACATGGATAGAGATTATAAATTTTGAGTAATTATTTAACTAATATAAAAACAAGTAAAATACTGTTCACCTTTCTCCCTCGTAAAAATGTTTTAAATTTGATCCGAATCTAGATAAGTAGAATAATAAATTTAACTAACTTAATTTAAAATTAACTTTATAAAACAATATAAACCTTTTAATAGTAAACTACATGACTAGAATTCTGCAGTATTACATTTACTTTAAATGATGTATTTATAAACTTTTCTAACTGTAACACAGTTTTAATTTTATTTAGCATTCATTTATATATGAAAAGGATGCAAGTATCTTCACAAGCAACAGAATCCAGGTTGTTGCAGAATATCATAATGCATGATATCAGTTTTTTTTTCTTCAAAATCTAAGAGATAAAATTCTTTCTATAAAATTTCCTTCCTGAATTTATATGAATTTTTTTGACATAAATCTAATATTTCATACAAAATTTTAAATATGTATTTTTGTTCTAAAGTCATGTTTTTCTTTTCCTTTTCAGGGACAGGCCTATTACTTAACATGTGTAGAAACTGTATTGCACCAGATTCCTTTGAGGACTTCAGAACTTTGATGACTGTGAGCGATGTAACAAGAAATTACATTAAGTGTGAATTGCGAACTAATTTACATGTGTTTCTTTATTGTAAATGTATTTATTGTGTCATCAATAAAAATTGGATAAAATGACAAAAAGCAAGAAGCCTTGCTGCATCTGACAGGTAAGGGAAATGTTTTTATTATTTGATTTGAATATTGAGTTTTAGAATTATTTAGCGAACGCGACAAAGAATGTATATGTGTATTTATAACATGTTTCCCGCCAAAACTGATTTGGTGTGCCCCTTCATGTGTATCAAGATCATATCTGCATTTTTATACTTTTAAATTATTTTCTGTTCTTTTATTATTTATATATATATACTTAAAATATTACTTTTAGTAGTAAATATACTCACATGAGTTGTTGCCATACGAAACAAGATTTTTGCTTTCTGTGCCAACTAACAGATAACTCAGAACTAGATAAATAATACTCACCTGTTTTGCACATTCCCACAAAATTCTTGCATATCTGATTAGTTGTTTTCCATTTATTTTACATAAATCAATGAATGAGAACTTGAGTGGTCCACATGTAAATTTATTAATTATATAAACCAGCAGAAAAATAAGAAAAATGCTTTGCAATCTAAACGTTTAGTTATTTTCGCTATGCTTTGAGGAACAAATGATCCATTTCAATACATAAAGTACATTTGTGTATACAAAACACCTGAACATTTTATGCATTTGTGATGGCAATACTTGCATTTGGGTATTTAGGTAATGTGATCAATTACGAGTTACCTCACAGCTGCCAAGTATACTCAAGCTTACCAACTATATTACTTTCGGAAACGGCAGTGACTGTGTTAAATGCATTAATTCCAAACATTTAACAGCTAAACTTTAAATCTAACTTTCTATATTTAATGGGAACTATTTGACTATTTTAATACAAACATATGAATCTAAATGAAAGCCTAAAATGTTGTTAATAGAAAACAAATAATAAATTAAAGTTTCTTATTCATATTCATTTAAGTTACTAATATTACTCATGAAATATTACCACATAAATCCTTTGGAAAATAAAGAATAATGGATACTTAAAAATTAAAGAAAGTTATAAACTTACAGCCATACAAACAAACTGAAACTTTTTATTCAATAAATGCTGGAAAAGGGAGAGATTTGCCTTTTAGACAAAAGACAAATGATTTCCATGTGTATACATAAAAAAAAAAAAAAAAAAAAAAAAAAAATCCACAAATGCATAATATATTTCATTACCTCAAATTTAAGCCTTTTATTAATCAAGTTTTCTTTCATTACACAATTTTGAATTTTTAACCATATTTCTTACCTGAAAGACATCATATGAATAATTCTTGAAACAGTTTTAAGAGTATCACTAACAAAAATCTCACAAATAAAAATTTCCCTATTTCTATTAAAACTAACTTCAAGGAAGATGACGCATATGCTTTATTTGATATATTTTAGAAGCTAAAACACCCATATATCTAGATCCTCAGATTTGGCATGCTACATGCAAGTATTGTTAAGACCAGAATGAAAAATTATTCAAATTTTAAAGTTTTATTTCAAAATTATTAAAAAATACCAAAATTAGCATAAATGCTAATTCTTCTTCTTTTTTAAAAAATTCGGAAAGTAATTTTAAACACTTTTTTTGGTCAGAAAATTAATAACTTCGGAATGTACTATTTATAAAGCTTAGATGATTTTGCAAGAAACACAACTAATTATTGCAACAAGATTAATGTTTGTTGTTAATGAAGGCATTGGATATTTCTCTAAATTTGAATTCTCAGCTAATACTTAAGAGAAAACATGTCATATTTAAGAAAAGTGCACAACTGGATGTTTAAATAACAATATTTTTTTTTTTCAAAATATTTTATAAATATGGGCATAATCTGGAAAACAAAGATTGTACTGTTTCAGACACAGCTCATAAGCTAGACAAGAAGTCACAATATTATACAGAAAATGAGGTATGGGGGGAAAAATGATTGCAATTACCTGGGAAAAAAATATAAATGGAACATTTTAAATGATTATCTGGCTTATGATTAAAGAGTTACTGCTCCTTTCAAAATGAATATAAAGATCTAAAATTTAGTATCCTTCATAAGCTGCTGGTTCCATGTTACTATTATTATTGTAATTGTATTCTCCATCAAATCCACTATTATTGAATCCATCCTGACTTGTTTCAGGTGGTGCTACAGGCTCTTCTTTGATTCTTTCATCTTGATCACGTCCACCACGCTCTCTCCTACTCTCTCGATCTCTGTCATAGTCACGCCGTTTACGATCTCTGTCTCGACTTCGGCTGCGACGCCTTTTACGATCTCTGTCACGGCTCCTACTCCTACGCCGCTCTTTACGAGCATCAACTTCTGGTACTGCATCTCCAACAACATCCGCATTAGGCTCTACCTTTTCAAACACTGGTCCAGTTTCCCTATCTCGAACCCGATCACGAGATCTATCTCTTTTATGTCTTTCTGCACGATGACGTTCACGACTCCTAAAACAGAAATGAAAATGCATCAAAATGTTAAAGTTGAAAACTTGAATTATTATTCATAAAATGAGTACCATATTAAGTCTCTCCTTTATAAGTATATACTCCTAAAAATCGTTGCAGGAAACAACAGTAATTTAAGAATCTAGTTCTCTCAATAAAACTAACTTATAACATCAATAAAAGTAATCTTTCTGTATTTTAATCATCTGACTAGAAAGGCCCTATCTAGCTATATATATACAATTACAAAGCAATTCTTTTGAAAACAAAATATAAACATGCCTAGTATTTTCAATGTTCCTTCCCCCCTGATGAAGTGGCATTGAGGTTGGCTGAATTCCTCTTCAGATTTTGTTCATTTTTCTTTAAATAATGGGGGTTTACTTGTTTGAAATGTTTTGATTTTAACATTTTAAAATTCTTTGTTGCATTTATATGATTATTTGAAATTTATTAATTATGAATTCTAATTTTCGATCTTTGTGAAATATTAGTTCTAAGTTTCTTACTTTATATACATGTGTGGCCTAGAATATGTTTGTGATGGCTTTAAGAAAGTATATAGAGGGTGTTTACACAATTTGTAATGATTTTGATTTTTAATAATTGAAATTAAATATTAATTTTAAAATAAAAACATGACTGGCAACAAATTGGAATAAGGTTTAATTATCATCTGCAGCATTAAAAATATTCTTTTCTTTAAAATTTCACTGAAAAATAAACAATGAATCGAAGGCTATACTTTTTAACTGTCAGAAGGGAAATACTCTTATTCAATTATTTAAAAAAAAAAAAAAAAAAAAAAGCATGGTTTTAATATTTCTATACATAAAGTAAGTGACAATTAATATGAAAGGAAAGAAATGTCAAAGTTTACATCTGACTGGGAAAAAGCAAAAATGTATATCCAACAAAGGTCCATACGGCTCTTATTAAATTTCAAGTCGCATCTTGTGTGTTAAAGGAAACTCTACACCCCCGAAGAGCTATTGCAAAATCTTTAAATATCTCTGTAGGACTTTGAACAAAATTAGAAATTCTGATTTAAAGCTAATAAAAAATAATAATAATTAAAAAAGATGTTAATCACCTAATGACGACACATGTTTCTCGGCTAAGACTGTGCAGATTGTTGTGTGAAAATTATTTGAAATGTGAAAAAATAGAAATATATATGGTTACAATTGATGAAGCTTCGATATACTTATCTGATTGCAATTTACTACCAAAATAAAAAAGAAGAGAAAAAGGCAATATGTTGGTTCAGAGAAAACAAGGAAAGATTTTCAAAAAGTTTTATGATTATTAATGGATTCTCTTATAATTGAAAACTTAAAATAAGGAAAGTAGAAAAAATGTCAAAATTAATTTGGATTATTATCAGAAATATGTTTCAAGACCTATTTTTAAAGAAGAAATTTCATCTCTTTATCCAAACAATCTTCATTATGTTAAGTTCCATCAGGATAATGCTTCAAGCCATACCTCTAAATCTACTACACTATTTTCTTTTCTTTTCTTTCTTTCTTTCTTTCTTTTTTTTTTTTTTTTTTTTGAAAAAATGACATATGAAACTGAAATTGCAGCTATTCCCTTTAAATGCACTCCACCCAAGTCTCCTGATATGTCTCCTATGGATTACTGTGCATTTGGACTTTTAAAACAAACTCTTTATAAGTGGCATCCTAAACTGTTGGATGAACTCTGGAAGATTATGAAGAATGAATGGAATAAAATAAATTAACCTTGATGTTTAATGAAAAAGACTGTTGTTTTGGAAATCAAGATGTAATATGATAGTTCAATAAAAGGGCTGAACATATTAGAAAATAAAATTAAGGTTTTTTTATATACAGTCAAAAGTCGTTAATCCGGACTCGTCGGGACTTCGGCGATTCCGGATTATAGATCATCAGTTTAAATCTGGTAAGATGGCATGCAAAAATTACAAAATTAAAAATATGAAACCGTAATTTATGAAATAAAGAACAATTATGATCTAAAGGGTATCAAAATTTACAAAAAGAAAAAACTTAATATTTATTTGTTTACTTTATTAAACATTTCCTTCAATGTAAGTTGCTTCGTTTCATGTGATAATACCTTCTCTTTAATTCTATTAAACAGACATAATTTCTTGTTTAGTTACAAAGTTCCGCTTCAAGTCCTATAATTGCTGTGTTGAGAATATCGACTAATTTGTCAATCGAAATGTTTTCGTTTTCAATAACCTCTGGGTCACTTTCTTCACTATCCGAAGCCACGAGGAACTTGATTTAAATCATATCAAAGACCGAGTAACATCTGCATCTGCTCTGAAGATAAGGATAGTGTTGACAGATCAACTTCCAATCCCCCCGTGAAATTGATAAACAGATTTCGGATTTCAAAACATTCGCTTTGTAGATACAAATTACATATTAGTAAATATATATTGGAAATTCTATTTGACATAATCTTTCTAATCTATCATAATCTAATAATGACGTTTCTGACCCCCCCCCCTCTGCCGCAGAGCAGCGTGAAATTGATAAACAGATTTCGGATTTCAAAACATACTTTCGCTTTGTAGTAAATATATATTGGAAATTCTATTTGACATAATCGAAAGTTCAAGCTTACTTTTATAAAATTGCTCTAACAGTCTGCAAAAAATAATAAGCCGGATCCAATTCGAAGATTAAGGAACAACGCAATCTGCAACATTAACTGAATTAGATAACTTTAGCTTAGCGTATAACTTCGTTAGACATTAAACGCGCATGCGCACAAACATATTCGCAGCCGTAAGGGTCTTACGCGCTCTCGTAAACGCCTGTGCGCGACGAGACGCATGCACAGAAAGTTTGTAGCTTTGAGGTCCGGATTATAGATCATTCCGGATTATGGGTGTCCGAATTAACGACTTTTGACTGTATACATCTTTGCAGAATCATTACAAAAATGTGTCAACACACTCTGTATATGTGCATCTTAAAACGAAAGAAAGAAATTAAACGAAGAAATTAAAGCAGTATCTTAAAAAATATAGTAAACCAAGTATAAAGCATTTTGGAATGAACAATAAGAAAATACCTTTTTCTCTTTGCAGTTTTGGGAAATTCGGGATTTCTTAGTGAAACACCTTCATGCTCAAACATCTTAATGTTAGGATTTGAATGATGAAAATAGTACTAAGAACTGAATTTTGGAATTCTGAATTTCAGATATCCTTAATAAAATCTAATTTACATCCATTAAGTCAATTATTTATGGCTACATTTGACCGTAGCATGTTGTTCACGTTAATTGTGTGAGAAAATGCTAAATTACATTATTGAAAAAGCTGACAGCTGATTTCAAAATACACTCTTAGGGAAGCGGGGAAATAATAATAATAATAATAATAATAATAATAAAATAATAATAAATAATAAGACGCACTAAGAAGGAGTTATCTGAATGGGACGAAAATTGATTAATTATTGGTAGAAGTCATGTACATGCACAGAAAAACAAATGATTACAGTTTGAGATCATTCGAAGTAGCTTCACAAAGTGAAAAAGTCAGTAACGCGTTTGTCCACCTCTGGCCCTTATGCAAGCAGTTATTCGGCTTGGCGTCGATTGATAGAGGTTGCAAATGTTTTCCTGAGGGATATTCTGCCAAATTCTGTGCAACTGGCGCGTTAGATCGTCAACATCCCGAGCAAGTTGAAGGGCCCTGCCCATAATGCTCCAAACGTGCTCAATAGGAGAGAGATCCAGCGACCTTGCTGGCCAAGGTAATGTTCGGCAAGCAGTAGAAACATGGGCAGTGTAGGGGCGGGCATTATCTTGCAGAAATGTAAGCCCATGGTGGCATGACATGAACGGCAATACAACGGGCCTTAGAACTTCGTCAATGTACCACTGTGCTGTAAGGTTGCGATGGATGACCACCAAAGGGGTCCTACTATAGAATGAAATGGCACCCCAGACCATCACTCCTGGTTGTCGTCTTGTCTGCCGGAAGATAGTCATGTTGGTATCACACCGCTGTCTGGGGCATCTCCTGGTGACCAGTGAAACAAATGATTACAGTTTGAGATCTAGTGAAGTGATGGAGCTTCACAAAGTGAAAAAGTCAGTAATGCGTTTGTCCACCTCTGGCCCTTATGCAAGTAGTTATTCGGCTTGGCGTCGATTGATAGAGGTTGCGAATGTTCTCCTGAGGGATATCGTGCCCTGATGACCAGCAAAGGTGAGTCGCCTTCGCTGGTCATCAGGCTCATTTCAAACTGGGACTCATCACTGAAGACTATTCTACTCCAGTCAGTGACATTCCAGTGCGAATGAGCCTGACACCACTGCAAAAGGGGCTGACGTTGTACAGAGGTCAATGGTAGCCAGCACAAGGGACGCTGTGACCTCAGCCCCCTTTCTGTGAGCCGTTTATGAATGGTTCTTGCGGTCACTGAAGCACTAGTTGCACGTACAATCGATGATAATGATGGACTTGGGGCTGTGAGTGCCGCTCTGACGATTGCTCGGTCTTCACGTTCTGTGGTTTTTCTAGGTCTACAAATTCATTTCGATATATAACGAGTGAAGCTTGCTCATCATGAGCTCTTCGACAAAGACGAGAAAATCGAAAGCCGACGAGACTGTATAGATGGATGTTAGCGCCCCTTTGGAGTCGCCTTCCGTCAAGGAAATTCGCGTTGGTTTACCACCTGTAGTTATTGTCGAAAATCACGATAATAATAATTGGATTGACCTACTTGAGGAATTGGAAGCTAAAATTGCCTCGATGCAGATAGCTGTGATGGAATGCCAAAAGTTATGCCCGGTTACGATGCTAACATGACGACCGAACTACTATGCAAGGCTCTACAAGTGCTCAAGACCCAGGCTGATGATGTTAGAGGTAAGTATAATCTTCCTTGTACTTCAGGCATTGGTCGTCAAATGTACTTACTGTAAAGAGTTAAAGTAGTGAGGCTAAGGCTAAACGCAAGTTAACTAATAATCCTAGTAAAAGTGATGATGAAGGATTTAAGCTCCCTTCTAAAACTGCAAAACAGCAAAGAGTAGATAAATCACCTCCAATTACTGAATCTACTAATAAATTTAATGTATTAAATGAAAGTAGTAAGGATAATGTTGAAAGTAATAGTAATGTTAATAGGTTATTCGTTGGCTGCTGAGGGGTATCGACTTAGGAGGAGTAACTAACTCGTAAATATACGAAGACTCATGCATAGCACTTTCACGAGATTTTTCATCTCATCTATGGACTTTTTCCACTTTATGGTAGGAAAGAAATGTTGTTTTCCCAGTTGCTCTAAACAGGATGTGGCCTTTTTGGCCCGGGCGCCTGCTAACAAGTGTTTCCCAACACCTGAGTCTTCTTTAGGCCTCAAGGGGCACCGTGACCTCAGCCCCCTTTCTGTGAGCCGTCTATGAATGATCCTTGGGGTCACTGAAGCACTAGTTGCACGTACAATCAATGACAACGATGCATCTGGGGCTGTGAGTGCCGCTCTGATAATTGCCCGTTCTTCATGTTCTGTCGTTTCTCTAGGCCTATCGCTTCCTTCTCGATACTGTGTGCGGCCGGCCATGGCCCACCCATTCCTGCCAACATGAGATTAACAGGAGTAACAGGAGCAATGCCACTATTAAGTGGCATTGCTCCTGCTCTAATGTCGAGCTAAGTTCGCTGATAAGACCAACCGGCTTCTTTGAGCCCAACTACACGACCTCTCTCAAATTCTGACATCTGCGCATATCATTCACGCACCTGTATGTGAGGCATAGTTACTGTCTACCAGAGTACATGGCATGAAATTCGTAAAGAATTTATGACCTGGAATCCTAATTTCTCCTCTTAAATATCCTGCCAGTTGCACAGATCAGATGCACTGTAGTGACAACCGTTCATTCACTGGCAACCAAAACGTAAAATTTTGCATTTTCCGTCGAAACCTGTATGCATATCAATTTGTGTCCAATTTGCTTTATATCTTCTCGGTGCGTCGCTTTTTTTTGTTTTGTTTTGTTTTGTTTTGTTTAAGAGTGTAGTTTTCCTTTCTCGAACAGCTGTTCTGTCCTGTTTCACTTGATTCTTTCCTGAAGAATACATGTAAGATAAAAAGAAATTAAAATCACTGAATCTGTTTTTCATATTAGTGAATTATCCTTCACACTCTTCCAATTATTGTATTCTTAAATAACTTTACATCTTTTTTTTCATTTCAATTTATTCTGCCAAAAGCAGTCAACATTTTAACAAGGAGGAAAAAATTACAAGAAAATGCTTTGTTTTCTGTCTGAAAGAAGAATATTCAGTTGCAATATGATTGTCTTAAACTTATATTTCATATACACTTATTTACTATAAGGTGCACCCATAAAATAATTAAAAGACCAACCAATAAAAAAGTGAAAGAATGAATGTATGTTTAGAAACAATGACATCTCAACTCTTGTTCAAGCCAGTTTAAACTCACTATTTTTTCATTTGGAAATCAAAATCCCAGAGCCATTTTCATTTACTGAGAAGATATTCCACCAAAAAATTTGCTTTTAGGAGGAACAATTACAAATTTTGTTACAAACTGGGTAAATCTGCTGCTGAAAATGATATATAAAAGTCAATCTCTTTCAGACATAATTGGGATCAGCTAAGGTAACTGTAGGTTAATTCTAATTGGAAATCTGAAAATAAGCAATGCTTGTGCTCAATTTGCGACTTGGTTTTTGACAAAACACCAAAAAAGAAAAAGCTAGTAGCAAAGATTTACTGACTACTGAAAGACAGGACAATTTCTTTAAGTATATCACAGTGGGAGATGAAACCTGGTGTCATCAATGCGACCCACAAACAAAATAGACAAAGCACAGAAAAAAGAACTATCTTCTTCCATGGAGGGAGCGAAGAAACACTAAGACTCTAAGACTAAGAGTCAAGCTCTAAGACTAAGATGATAATTTTGCATTTTTTGACCCCAAAAGACTTATTCACTGTGAATTCCGACCTGGAAATCAATTAATTTAATAAGTATTTTTACGAGGAGGATTTTTTTCTTCGGTTAAGAAATGGGATAAGGCAAGTTAGGAGGGAACATTTTGATTTTGGCGAATGATTTCTTGTACATCATAATACTATTCAGGACAGAGATTTAAAAATGGATATTAAATCAGATGTTAAGCGTATTTCATGAACAGTTAGTTCCAAAGCCTATAAACAGTGTTTTGAAGATTGCAAGAAACATTGGAAAAACTGTTTAGTGATTACTTTGAAAAATATAAATTTATTAGAAGGTTTTTCCTTATATGCTCTTGAATTGCTAACATGCAGCTTTCACCGTCATGAAACTTGAACATCCTTGATGTGTACACTATACCGCAAATTATAAATACAATGTAAATTAAATGGTGAATAATACATACCTACTACGACTCCTCCTCCTCCTTTCACGGCTTCTGCTACGACTGCGTCGACGCTCTGGTCTTTCTGGTCTCTCTCTATCTCTATAGAAATATAAAAAAAATTTAATAATCAATTTTTGCACATAAATACACATTTTTCTAACGAAAATATTTTGGCTAATTATAACAAATAATATGTGCTATGATTATTTACATTATCATCAATAAGCTTCATTAGCAAATATCTGGTTGTGACGAAAGTTTCCTACAAAAAAAAAAAAAAAAAAAAAAAAAAAAAAAAAAACATTCTTAATAAATTTAGGAAAAGGGGAGGGGATCACAAAAACAGTTCCTTCAGTGCGGGTAGTAATCACCACACATTATGATTTTTTGCCAACGTTTTGGTAGTTTTTCAAAGCTTTCGGGCCCAGAAATTTGGTGGACATGATTCCAAAACCAGATCAACTTTATTTAGGATGCCCTATGCAGAACTGAAGATACCACTAGCAAGATGTAACAGCAGTTGTGAAAAACGTTAGAAGACCAAAGGAGCAATGTCGGGGCCATATGGTGGGTGTGGCAAAAGATCCCATTCAGGGTGCGTACAGAGTCCAGCAGGTACATGCAGAGACATGTGGTCTTGCATTATGCTGATGGAACATTAACTTTTTGTTCTGGAACTCAGTTCGAAGTTTCCCCTTTTCCCAGATATTCTTTGTGGATAACGATGGCAATCCCACCAGATACAAATCATGATTCTTTGCTAGTCAAACTGCACTTTGCAACACAGCCAAAGAGCTGACTGGGGCAGACTAGCTGCCTTTTTGGCCTGTGTTGTTGAAGTTAATCTACTTTTTATCATAACTGATGGATGACCTGGTCCAGAAGTCTCCTGTTGTATAGCTATACGAGCAGTTTAGTGCAGGCCATGTGGCACCCAGCAGTTGAGCTTGTACATCAGGTTTATGCATTACATGAAAACCTTCGACTATTCAGCAGAAATGCAAAATTTTAAAAGAAGTGGATGAAAATCCCAATTGATCCGAGATTCAAAACATTTATAATTTATATTTAGCAATCAGTACTGTAATGGAGATTCCTGTTAAATGAATTATTTGTAACACAACATTTTTAAAATTAAATTCAAAAAATCAAAATATGAAGAGATTGAAGAAAAACTCCCAATATGATTTTAGAAAGCAAAATCAGCAAACATTTCAATTAACAGAAGTATTTTGTATGAAAAAGGCTCATGAAATTTAAGAAATTAGGAATAGGATTTATTCCATCAACTAGATGAATAGACAGGCTGAAAAAACACATTGAAACTGCATTTTTGTAATGTTAGGTGTGATTTTCCCTGAAGCTTACAGCACGTTGGTTAAACCAAATAAATACGAACAGCCAGCAATCAGAAGTTGTGCTAATACAGTTTATCAATATTACTCATGTAATATTGATAAACTATGTTGAAATTGATAAACTATGTTACTTCTCAAGTGTTAAGAAGGATTTGACTTACTTCCCTGTTCTCTGAATTATTTACAGCTATTATTTTTGCTGTGCATATTTTTAATTGTAATACATTATAAATTTCTTCCTGCTCTAGAGAAATAAATAATTATTTGAAGAGATTTCCATTAACCAATCATAAGCAACAATACTTTATTAAGAAATGCTTAACTCAAACTTACAAATAGCGTTCTTCTAATCGGGGTTCTTCCCTTCCGGAATGCTTGACATTCACTTCCGGTCCACCTCTTCTGGTCCCACCCAATCCACCGCCTAAAATATAGTTTTAAATAAAAACATACATATATAAAGAACTGATTACATCATTGGCAATATACATTAAAAAATCAAAACAGGTTATGGAGCTAGTTCCAATAATAATAATAAAGGCCCAAGAAAATAAATCTTTGAGGTTTAATGACTTTTACCAACAGCTGTTAAAAACATGAAATTCTAATATAAATGAACTGTGTAGAGTAATATATATTAAGAAGATTTGTAAATCATAATAAAGGATGACAGATATGTCTCAATTTATGTTAGCAAAAATAATTCTAATATTTAATTATTTTTAAGCTTTAATTACTACAATGCTTATTTTGAAATCAACATAATAGTTAGCAAATTACTGGATTATAAGACATATTTACTTTTATTGCACATATATCACAAAAAACATGATACATCTTAGAATTAATAGCTTCTTAAAACTGCACTTTTTCCACCTTCCCTTTTAATGAATTTAATTTACACTGGGCAAAACAGAGAATGGTTTACTTTTACACACTTTTACCATTTATATGATACGACTTTACTAATGTTATTGATGGTTCAGGAGATAATATATTTTAAGACAATAAATACAATCCAAAATAATCAGATTTTGAATGTGAGGGAGACTAACATTAAATACAGATATCAATACATCTTAAGACAGAAACAACTAAACTCATTTTGTGACTATTGTCATTAAAGCACTGGAGATGATAAAACTCATTTTCAATGAATTATTGGTGGGTTTTTAGGTGGCAAAGTGAATTTTTTTTTTACAATAACTTGACTTTTACAGAGTAAATTCCTAAAAATGGACTATAATAAAATAGAATGTGATAATGAAGAATTGTATATGCGGAGAGTTTTTCGAATAATTCCTGCTAGAACAAGCTATGATCATTCTATTGATGATAACATAATAGCCTGTATTCGTACGAGAAGAATGGTCATCAGTAGACAATCCACTGGTCTTGTAAGAGTAGGCCACTCAGAAATAAATGTAGAAAATGTCCCTGATAGGGCAGCATATACAGTATATATGCTATATTAAAATATCAAATTTATCATCGCCAGCACCACAGAAAAGGCAAAGATGAGGCAATAAAATTGCATCAATATATTGTTGGCCGGTTACAGTTTCTAGCTGTAAGCATATATAGGGGAATGCAGTTATTGATCATGATGCAGGCCCGAACCACAATACTGCCTCTTGGATATCGATCCCTTTCCTAGATATAAAGCAGTACAGCTCTTATGCCAGATCATTTGGCATCTACATGTTGATGCCAGACTGAAGCCACTATCATCTGAGAATATTATGCAAGCCCAGTCCTGTTCAGTCCAACTGCGATATTCACGACACTATTGCAGACAGGTGGTAATGTGCTGTCTGAACAATAAAACACAGACAACAGATTTATGAACATACAATTTTCCTTAGACCAAACATCTGGCTATAATTTTTCAGGAGATCCACAGTCCTAAGCAGCAAGAAACTCACTCGCCATCAGCCGAGCTGAGATATGATGATTTCCTTTTTCCAAAAGGGCAATCAATGTATTTATCCTCCTGCAAGATGTCCACCGACAATGTAAATATATCATCAATATCCGGCATTACAAAAAAGCAACGAAGTACAATTCTCCAGGTAAACTTTCCATGGACATGAGGAATCATACATCAGAATCTTAAGGTTGTTAAGAAAATAGCTCTGATTTACAAACATTTCACATTTAGGAACATACTACATTTGTGAACCAAAGTTTCACAGCATCATGCAATCCTCATAATGCAATGAATAAAGTTTCATAAGGTACCAGGAATTGGGGGGGGAGGAGAAGAAAGGAAATACTTTACATAGAATTGGTCAATGTTATACATCAAAACCATTTTAAAAGTTAATTCAAAAGCATATATTATCTTTCCCCCCCCCATAAACGGTATATTTAATATTTTGCTTTTAGAATATAATACAAGCAATTACACTTTTAAATCTTAAAAATTTGACATGAATATTATCTAAAAATAGATAAAAAAAAAAGTAAGCCAATCTTATGGATCTTGCAAATCAATTACTTTTTAGTCATTATGAAGAATTAACTGTTATTAATTTTGAAGGTATCCCCAGAAAAATCTTTTAAAAATCTTAAGTGCGATTATGAAAACGGCACATTCTCTAAGAGACAGCCATAATCATTACACTAAATTTTACAGAAAACAAATATCCTCATGAAAAAAATTCATGTCAAGTTTTATTGAAGAAATAAATTTTGCCATTTTTGAGCTAAAATTATATATGTTTTTATTTAGATTTCGTCTACCATAAAAACCACAGAGAAAATCAAATTTCAAATGACTTTCCAAAATCCTCTTCGTAAGTACACAAATACATTTAAAGCACAAACATACATACCTAATCTCCTCGGTAACCAGCCTTTTACAGTTCTTCCTCTTTCCACATCAACAAGGACTCGTCTTCCATCAATTTTTTTGCCATCAGCATGTTTGTAAGCAGCTATCAGAGGGGGGGAAATGCACCAAAGAAGAGATGACAAACTTTGAAAACTATACTGTCAAATCAAGAAACCAAAGAGGTTTCCAAAATACTTACCTAATATATATACTTACATTTTTGATGATATAACTAATTTACAAATACTATAGTTTGCAAGAAAAATATCATAGTTTTAATGTTTATAATAGTTAAAAATTATAATTAAATTTTATTTTGAAAAATTTATACAAGATTTTCTTTTATACTACAGTAACTAATATTATTAACTACAATTAATGACCTTTGATCATTTAGTTTGATCTATTCAGTAGTACAGAAGAGTGGCCAAATAATATATTATACTAATATAGTAGAAATATTAAAGTTACACTAGATTCTGACAAAAAAAGTAGATGAGTCCCCTACCCTCTCAAAATTTTAGCCTCCTCTATTTAGCAAACTTGTGACAGTTATTTGTTACCTAATATGTATGATTGTGTTAGAATAAACAAGTTAAAAATCTGATGATTCAACTATATATTGGCATGAATTATCAGTTTCAACTTGAGCATTTTCAGCACTAGGAGAGTGGTGTTCTGAAAATACAAAACATATATGACCCTTTATATTTAAAAAAAAAAAGTTTATTATACTTAAGTAAATTATGCAGTGGAACCTCGAGATAAGGGATTCATTCGTTCATTGAACTCGTATAGCAAATTTCTCGTATCTAGAAATAAACTTCCCCATTGAAAATAATGGAAATCCAGTTAATCCGTTCCACACCACACCAAAATATCAACATAGAAATCAGTTTTCCTAAAAAAATAACACCAGTAAATAATACTTGGCGTTTTTCGGAGAAGTTCCAAGTACAGATTCTTAGTCTTAGCGCATATGATAGCTTCAGACACCGAATCGCCTTTTAACTGCTTCTTGTTAATCCACACCAACAACAGCTTTTCAACATATTCTAGGAGTTTTGAACAGTGCTTGGAAGTAATGGTAACTCGTAACATATTGTTGAACGCTTATGTTTATTTATTACTTCTTTCTTAATTTCAATGGAGACGGCTTTTCTTTTTTTCATTGCAGACTATCGGAGGCAACAGTCTTCTTGGGAGGCATCGTGAAATAATTCTTTTCACATTAAAAGTAAAAAACAATTAACTACAAGCATACAAACACGTATATCAAAGAAAACCGAGTGATCTGACGATGGGATTTACCGAGTCGAGCCAGATCAGGAAACGTGCTACGCCTGGCTCGTTACTCGAGTCGATGCTCGTATTTAGAGACGACGTTTTTGCTCATGCTTTCCTTGCATCTCGAATTTCTTGTATATAGAGGTGCTCGTATCTCGAGGTTCCAATGTACACAAAAAATTCTGTACTTTTTATGTGAAAATTTGCAGATATTAAGAAATGCATTTGTTTACCTTGATCATTTTTTAATGTATATTTTCAAACAAAGTTCAATAATTCTTAAACAGAGAGCATTTGCTATACTGATGGTGACTGGTGAATCATAATGCATAGAACAGAATTAGTTAATAACTTAACTGTTTCTTTCTCATTGAATTTTACATGTAAAGGTGCACAGCTTTCTTTCATTTATTAAAATCCTAATGAAACTTTCTGATAAATAGGGTATTTTGCTCTGCAGGGACAATATAAAAAAAAATTAATTTTATACTTCTAAAATGGCTCCAATGCTGAAAATTTCTAACAAAACTCTAGCTTATTTCGAGAAGTTTTATAATTGGAGATTTATGCTCAGAAAAAAAATAAGGAAATAAAGCATGTAGCCATCTTTCAGACAGACTCTCGAATATACATAAATATTTACTCCACAATTATTTGTCCTAATATTTATAACAACATACACACATACACATGTGTGCAGCTTGAAATATGTTCAAACCTTAAAGTTTCAGAGAAAGAATAAACTAGCAGGGAAATTATGATCAAGAAAATGCATCATTTATAGGCAGAGAGCCGAATTCTCAGACATTTAATGGGTTAACAAAAGATTTAAATAAAAGTAAAAATAGCTATCACTTTCCTATACTACATATAATGAAGACAGTGTAGAATACTTGAATTTCATAAGAATATAAAAGAAATCAGAACAACGTTAAATTCAAAAATTTGGATCACACATTTGCATGGTTATTTGATGAAGGCAGCTTTTTAAAAAAAAAAAAAAAAAAAAAAAAGAGAAAGAGAGAGAAGATGCAGTGGTAATATAATTTTGTACAGCTATTGTAGGATTTTCATCAGTTTCATAGATAAGAGAGTTTGTCTTATGTTTCTATTTATTTAATTATGTAAGTATGTGCAGTATTTTTTTGTATATGTAAAAAGGTATCCCCCAAAAAGCAATATCATATTAACCTGAATATAAGATGCTTTTTTCTTAAAAGTACCCTTTTGAATTCCAAACTTTCTTACATACGCAGCCTAACCTATAAATTATACGTTGAGATGACATCACTAATTCTTAAACTCGGAAGTTCTATAGAAACTTACTGTACAACTGTATTTCCTCTTAATGGATGAAAAGCAAGAATGGATTTAAGATACCCTCATATTTGATTAGGGAAAAAACATACTTCCACTCTGCAATTAGGGAGACTTGAGGTATTTTGGGATGATAATTTAAAAAATATCGTTTAAAGCAAGCCCGGCCCTTTCAAAAAAAAATTTTAATTGTAAGTTTGCTATACACAGGAAATCATCTTAAATTTAAGATGATATAATACATTCTAATATTTTAAATACCTAAAAAATTTCATCCAACTTATAATTTGGCTCTATATTCTAAATATAAATTTTAGAATTTTGTTAATTTTAGCGACAGGCTATTTTTTCCTAATGTTGTTTAGAAATGCTAAAACTTTGTCTTAATAAAATACACCGCCTATAACTATATCAAATGCCCCACTTATGTTTTCAACAGCTATTAGCCAATAAAATTAATTCTGATGACTGAAAGCTAACAGTTAAAAACTTACCTAACTTACCCATGTAAAACGAAGTAAAAAGAACTGAAGAATCTTCTGGAACTTCAATTAATTCTTCCTATTATTGAATCCCTCTTGAAATTTATCTTCAAAGACATCTTTTAAACCTCTTATATTATAAATACTTTACCCAAGAGGTTTTTCTTTAAAAATTTTCAAACACTCCCTAATTTCTTACCAAATTTCAAGATCCAATTTTGAAGTTTCAAACATTTTTTAACAATTTATAATAAGAAAATTCGCCTAAACAGTTTGACTTAATGCATATATATGTTTAAAAATTTTTAGAAGTAATAAAAATTGAAATAAACACAAAAGAAAACATGAAAAATATAGTTCATGCATTTAAAAATTACTTAAAATGTTTTGAAACAAAATGCTCATTCAAACTATATAATCTTATATCCCATGGAATTCTAAATGATAAAATTATTAATTATATATAAAAACCACTGTACATTTTGCATATCCCCTTTTCAATATTATTACACTACCAAAAGTTCACTTTATTTATTACTGTTATTTAGAATTTAACCATTTTACAGCTGAATTTAGATACATCTGTAGTTGTGCAATTTGAATAAAACTTTCTTTAATAATTAGTTAGTTGTATCCCCCCTTAAGTATCTATTAGTTAGTGAATCTGCCCTTAAGTAGATGAAAAATTTTGGACAATGAAAGTATGGGGAAGAAAATTAGAGGGATGGAACTTTGAATACGCATTATTGACCTATCCATATTTATTCCCAAATGCAAATTACCAAACTGCACTTTAAATATGATAATGTATGGTTACTTAATATGAAAGAATATGATATCAACTGCCATTTGTGCATATAAATCAACTTAAAAAGGGAAAAAAAAAAAAAAAAAAAAAAAATGTATGTTGCTACTATTCAAACCATGTTTTCTTATGCATGGCAATGAGTTGAAGTACTGATATATAGCAAGAAGCAGTTACGATATGAATTCTATTATGTTTAGTAGCCATTAATTCAATTTTAGTCATGAATGCAAGAGAATACAAATGGATTAAAAAAAAATTTTGATTTCAAATGTTAAAACTGGATGTTAAATGCATTAACTTTTAATTTTTATATTGTATATTAAATGATCAGTGCAATAAATAATATTACAATTAATTACAGATAAAAAATAATTTTATGATGTTCGCATTATCAGTGTAGAGATAATTTAACTGAGCATTGCAAACCTTTAAATAATGAGAAAATGAATTTCTGATGCTTAGTTTTTTCCCCCTCTCAATATAATGTCAATACAATACATTCTAAAAATCACTTATGAAGAGACATCAATTCAAATAATAACTTTTTATGAAGTATGTATTATATATATAAATTATATTATTATTTGTAAATAAAAAACTACATATAATAAATAATTACATAAAAAGTATTTTCTAATCTATAATTCAAACTAATCTTTTATAACTGAAAAAATGCAATTACTTAAAGAAATACACTACAAAATTTTCTCTTATATAACTAGTAGTCTATTATATATAAATTCTGATATAATAATTACCTTAAAATAGAATAATAAAAATTCTAAGCTCTTAGTTCTATAACTCTATGCAAATAAATATATAACTAAACATTACATTATAAACAAATAAATTGAAATGTGTACTTTCACTCTAATACAAAGAAAAGTCTTAGTTATTATTCACATGTTAATAAAGCTAAATGCTACACCAACATTAAAAGTGTTTCACTTCTAAAAGCAATACACAGCAAGATATTTTTGACTTTAGCATTAAAAATTTTGTATGTGTAGTAATAGCATTAAAATTTAGGTAAATATACATTATACATCAAAAGTTTCATGCAAAGATAATTTTTGAACAGTTATTAATAATCCATATTTTTAAGTACCCCCACTTCATGCATGAACATTTTTAAAATATTCACTTTCAGGAAGAAAAGCTTTAATCTGCATAATTAATAATCGCATTATTCAATCCGTCAAAAATAGTTTACTATATAAAGGCTGCTTACCTCAGCACATAAAAATTCTTATTATCAGGCAAAGCCAAAGTTACCCAACCCTAGGTCGAATCGACCAACAGCCAAATCTCTGGCAGCTTTTCTGTATGGTAAAAAACAAATTATAAATGTTCTTACCAAACCAGCTTACCATACACATACAAACCAAAGTTTTCCTTAGAATTTTAAGGCAAGTTGCAATATTGGTATCAAGATGCAAGGTAGTGGGCACCAGCCATATTTGGAGGGCTGTTATGGAATATAAGACAAAGCGATTGTTAATGTATTCCTAAAATAACGAGCACCACATCACAATATAACTAGCTACATACGTGAAACATGTGGAACAATAAGAAAAAGAACATATTACACTGCATATGACTCTTTCAAAATGAGACAAACAATATACTGCCATTTAAATCATTTTGTTCTGATTACAATTATGTAAGAATTACCAAATTCAAAAGTTTAAACACAATACAGTTTGTCACATTTTCTGAAAAAAGCCACCCAGTATGATGGATTCTGAATTTGACCACATTTTTCAGGTTCGTAGCCAGTCAGAATTCGCTATAATTGTGTTTAAAATTACTTTTTACTATGTACCCACCTTTCCTCGCACATGACGAAATACGTTTACCTACCTATAACGGAAAAGAAATTTGAAATGAAGAGGGAGGTGTTTTGTAATTTTTAACTGGAATACTTATCTCCATTGCATTTTCAGTACTTTTTTTTAAAGATTATTAATAAAAATTAAAAGGGAAAAAGATAAAATGCCAATGCAATACGTTTGATACTTACAATGCATGTCCCTCTCACGTTCATACTCAATGAATGCATATCCTCTTGGTTTCCCTGTATTTTTATCATGAACAATTACAATCTGCAAAAAACAATAATATAAATATGTTACAAAGGAGGAAAAAACATCTTGTATAAAATAATTACATAGCTCAAATAATTTAGTGCCCCCCAATAAAACTTGATGCAAAAAAAAACTGCAAAGAAAATCAAAGCTTATGTTTCCTAATGTTCTGTGGGGATATAAAAGAAGATTTTATATCATGAGACTAAAATGACAAAACAGGCATTTTTTGCAGTATATTTTAAGCTTCAGAATTCAAAAAACATGCTCTACACACAGTTTTGTGAAAATATGAATGGCCATCTCTTTTCTAAGCTGTTCAATGGAACCCCTTTTCTCAATATGTGAAGTTTTTAAAGCCACAACAGTACGAGGAAAAAGTAAATTCCTTTTTCAACTGCATGAAATGGCAGCATAATGGACCAGTCAATGTGAGATATCGGGTTTTAACGAAAGTTTCCTTTTGCCACCACAAATATTGTCAGTTCCTGTTGGCATGTTAGCATATTTAATCATATTTTGTCAAAACGATTTTTCGCATTTGGGAAAAAAAAAAAAAAAAAAAAAAACGCTTTACAACACTTGGCATTTGAAAGAAAAAAATTTGCTTTAGGACACTCTATTGTGAAAAAATAATGTTATCATTAAGTACAAGGTGTCTGATATGGAACTAACACGGTACCAGATTAGAACCATCATTTACTTCCAGTTCTGTTGCAAAAAGTCAACTACAGAATGCCATCAAACCATGTATACAGTTTTAGGTACTAATGTTGTATCATAAGATACTGTGTTTAGTATCAAAAGTTCAAAAACAAGGACTCATTATGACACTGAAGAAGAAGAGCGCTTTAGCCGGCCTACTGATGTTGAGGCCCACCTACAAGAACTTGTGGAAGAAGATCAGTATGCAACCACTTGAGAGCTTGCTAAGGAATTAGATGTTGGTGCCATGTCCATTAGTCATGCTTTGCATTGCATAAACATGACGTACAAGCTCAACTACTGGGTGCTACATGAGCTGATTCAAAGCAGATAAGGACAGACATGTTCAGGTCTGCACTAAACTGCTCAAATATCAACGCATGGACAAAATTCTGTACCAGATTCGTCACTTGTGATGAAAAGTGGATTTACTTCAACAACACAAGCCGAAAAGGGGTTGGTCTGCGCCCAGCGAGCTAGTTGGCAGTGTCGCAAAGTGCAAATTTGACTAACAAAAAGATCATGCTTTATCCAGCGGGATTGCCACAATATTATCCACAAAGAGCATATGGAAAACGGTTAAAACCTTAACAGTAAGGTCTGCAGCGAGACGGTAGTCCATGTTGATGCTGCTCCAGGACAAGAAGATAAAGTACCATTAAGATGATGCAAGATCACATGTCTGCATTCACGGGTTGGCCTCTTTACAGACTCAAATGGGATCTTTTGCCACACCCACCATACAGCCCCAACATCGCTCGTTTGGACATTTTCATACCTGCAGCTACATCTTGCTGGTGCTATCATCTATTCTGCGCAGAACGTCCGAAATGAAGTTGATTTGTTTTTGAATCGCAGCCACCAAGTTTATTGTCTGAAGGCTTTGAAAAACTATAAGAACGCTGGCAGAAAATCATAGATTTGGGTGGTTATTACTACCCGCACTAAAGATACTGCTTTATTTATTTATTTTTGGCTGACTTTATTAAGAAAATTTTTTTGGCGAAAAACTTTTATTACAACCAGGTATTATCTCCGTGAAAATCTTCCTTAAAAGAACAGTGAATGAGTTTCAAAGCATAACATTCAGGGTGGCCACCTTAAAATTCTGTTTAAATAACTGATTTAAAAAAAAAAAATATTTGGAGACAAGAAAAGAAGAAAAATAACTTTATTGCTTCTCTTTCTCAGGATTTAAATAATACATCATAGTTTCTAATTCAGATACCATTGGTGGTGAACCTTTTTGGGCCTGCGTGCCCAAAATGGAATGGTCACGTGCCATTCTGTTTAATATATTAAATTAGAATTATTCATAAATTACCTCAAAATGCTTAGATCTGAAAACTGAAATCTATTTAACAATGAAAGTAATGAAACTCATCGGCAGTCTGCAATAAATCTGAATTTGTTTAACAAACATTAGCTGCTTTGGTATATTCTTTGCCATTTAACAAGCAATATGACTGGCTGAAACAATTGAAAGAACATAAATTGGGTCAATAAATATGTATATAATTTCTACGGCATTATATGAAAATCTTATATCTAGGCTTAGGCTCTATGCCAGTGGCATTATGCGATAAGTAAGCGAAAAGTACAAGAACAGACTAAAACATTTATTTAAATTACAAACTATCATTTTATTGAGATTATTGATTAAGGAAGTAACATTTTAGTCGTCGGCCGGCTGATAAGTCTCTGTGTGCTGACTGTGGCATGTGTGCCATAGGGGCGCCATCATTGCTATAGATAGCCACTGCCAACTCTGATACTATAGACAAGAAACGGACTTGAGGACAGATGCCTATCAATATATATCAGGTATAACAATGTGCCATATTTTACTTTAAAAATTAAAATCTAAAAATCTGAAAGTTTTCAGACTTTATATATTATGCCCAAAGGTACCTTTTTTAAAAAACATTTTGTCTGTTACCTTTATTTATTAAATACTGTGTACTTGCACTTAAACCATAAAATTAAATTCAACAACAATATCACAAAATAATTTTAAAATGAGCATATGTTTAGAATTTCCGATACACAGTCTCATGCAAAATCCTCCCATAGTGTTGCCATTGCTGGCTTTGAAGTCACTGAGTTTATTAATCAAAAACAAAATATGAAATTGATAATAAAACAAATTTCGAATTCCAAACTAGGGCTGCCAGATGCCCATATTCGGCAGAAGATTACGTTATTCAAAATTTGATGGCTGTAGGTACCGTTGTTTTAGCACAATGCGAAAAACATACGTACATTCATGCCGATTCTTCATTATTTAATTTTAGTATATATAACATAGGGTGATATTTGGTGGCAACAATTTGAAAAGTGAATCAACATTTATAGTGAACCAATGCAAAATGCCAAAACAAAAGTAATAAACAAAGTGCACACTTCTTAATGACATTATAAGCATATACACTACAGTCAACTCCTGATTAACTGGGCCTTCTCCAAATGAAAAGTTAAATATGTTTATTGTAGAGCAATGGGAAAAAAAAAAAAAAAAAAAAAAAAAAAAAAAAAAAAAAAAAAAAACAGAATAAAGCAAATTTTGCATAGGAAGTGCATGGGATAACAGCAGGGACAGCAAATGATGCCATATTATTTAGGAATTGCCTGACAAATTTAGTATACTGTAATATATCTGCTACTAAGAAAATAAGAAAAGTACTGTTTATAGGGGAACTTTATTCATATATTACTTAAAAACATTTTCAGACAGAATTTTTTTTAAAGGAAACATACAAACGAAATACAGTACAAAGTCTGAAATTTGGACTCGTCTGGACTACGGCGATTCTGCATTTGGGATTTTTCCGGATATTAGATCATCAGTTTAAATCTAGTAAGATGGCATGCAGAAATTATAAAATTAAAAATATAAAATCATTATTTATGAAATAATGAAGTATTTATGATCTAAAAAGTAGCAAAATTTACCCCCCCCCAAAAAAAAAGAAAGAAAGAGAAAAGAAAGGAGAGAGAGAGAGAGGTTTAATATTTATTTGCTTACTTTATTAAACATTTCTTTCAATGTAAGTTGTGGAAGTTGCTTCATTTTTTGTGCTAATACTTTTTCTTTAATTCTGTAGACAAACATAATCTCTTGTTGAGTTACATTGTATAAGTCCTGTAGCTGTTATTTCAAGAATTCCGACTAACTTATCAATCAAAATTTTCTCGTTATCAGTAACTTCTCTGTCGGTAGCGGTATTTTCTGGATTTAGAGCCATACTGCAGATTTCGCCATTCATTAATTGGTTGATAATTGAGAAGCATTGTAATCACAATAAAAAACTTCTTTTATATCATCTTCATTTATTACCGCTTCTCCACATTTCTTTACAAAATCCGTTAATTGGAAAATTTAACCTTTGTTTTGTGATATCCGAAAACCTTTAAAATTAGCGGCTATCATCATGAAATTTAGCTAATCTTCACTATACATATTTGGCTATGCATCATGTGCTTGGCGACTAACTACAAGTTGTTCTGTTAAATTTTATCTTGCTTCTATTGCTCACTGAGACAATTAAGCCTGAATTATATTAGTTTAGTTATTTATTATATTTATGTCTATTTTTTGCACATGCTTAATGCTTATCAGAGTTCTGAATAAATAAATTCGCACCATATACTTAAGCCTTATTGAGGGCCGGCGCTAGATATCTTACCACCTGATGCAGTCTCTGAGGGTTCTAAATTCTGCGACTCGATCCGGCTATATGAGCCTTGGCACTGGTTCTGGATTTATGTGAATAACAAATCAGTTATTCTTAATTCAAATAGCCCTAAATTTAATCTTTATTTAATCTAAATTTTTAGCATATGGAAAGAAATTTTTGGTAAAATTTTCCCTGTCAACATTTTTTAGCGCATTTATCTTAAAAAATCTGTAATCATCGCCAAGCGTAACATCAACATAAAAGGTTACCACACTCCTTTATTATTCAATTACTAACATTAAAAAAAAAAAAAAAAAAAATTGTTAAGGCTTTTGCTACATTACTCAATTTGTCATGTTTTGATAAACATGCGGTGATGAAAGGAAAGTATAATAAATAATGATTTGCCAAGTTGGTGTCAGATCAACGATGTATCTATGTGGAATGTTTTGATTCGAGATGTATGCCAAGCAGATAACGCAGCAACGGAGCCAAATTGCTGATCGTACAAATTTATGCTAAAGTGATTGTTTCTTCAATAACAATGTACTATTTTATTTAGTGTCAAAGTGATATTAAGAATCGGGACTCTCCAGGTGTTTTATTATGCGCAGAGGGCATTTGATTACACATCAAATGAACGCGCATGCGTTAAAGCCTATGAGAAAACGTTGTTGGCGGTTTTGAGATCCGGATTTTAGATCATTCCGGATAATGGATGTCCAGATTTCGGACTTTGTACTGTAGTTGTTTTCTGTTAGCATTCAGGAAACATACTACAGCTATGCAGATGAATATCTGCCTGTTCACCTCTCAATAAATATTAGACTTTTATTATTTAACCATTAGCTAGTTCTATAAAAAAAAAAAAAACACACACACACACAAAAAGGGGGAAAAAAAAAGATAGCATAAATGAACTACAAATAAGTAATTTAACAGCAGGAAAAAAAAAAAAAAATTTTTTTTGAGACATTTAAGCACAGTACCTTTTTTATATGTCCATAAATTTCAAATTCTCTTCTAAGTTTTGATTCAGAAGTGTCATAATTCTATAAAATTAATTAAAATCATATATTATTTAGAAATAACATCTGGCATAAATAAAGGAGTATTCTACTTAATTAAATCATCTATTTCCCATGTTAATAAAAAATGTCCATCTTATTAAATTGTACCAATTAATACAAAATGCTCAACTTACTAAAAATATTCTAATATTTAAATGAAAATTTGATAGTTTGAATAAGACTTCACTTGACATAAATTATAAAAAAAGCAATTCCAACTGAACACAATGAAAGAAAATTTTTTAGAATAAAATGCAACATAAATAAATATTAAAAATAGAAACAAACTAATTTAATTACATTAATAGTCCTACAAAACTGAGAGCATTTTGAGGTGAAATGTGCACTTTGTCAGCCAGAATTTGAACAGTATGATGCTCCTTTTGCTTTTGGAATGGATTCTTCTTCAGCTGATAAAATGGTCATGCCAACTATGAAAGTTCCTAATTTTACAAATATTATAAAGTGGTAAAAGCAAGTGACACCATTTGGATTATGACGAACTGGATAGGTCATCTGTGAAAGCTCCCAATTTTAAGAAAATTTTTATTTACAGTAACTACTAGTTTGCTTAGCTTGATTTTTTTAATGATATAAGGCAATTAATCTCTAAGATGTGCTTAAAATCTTATTTATTTGTATACATTTCAGCTGCTTAGTTCTTGAAACTGTTTTATTTTCTTTACTTATGTAGCGCAATCACCATAGCAAAAGTAGCAAAAATGTTCAGAATATTCCATTCATGCACAAACATTTATTAAATTTCTATAAAAATGATTACCATTTTTATGCATTCTTTTTGTAGTAATTCAAGCTACAATGGTTTTTATATATAAACCATATTTTTGTCTTAAATTACCATTTAAAATATGTATTTGTGAAATCAGTTTGCAGTAAAAGGAACTGCAACAACATTCCTACAGAAATATAGTTTTTTTGCCACAGACAGAAGAGAGGATTTGAAGAGGATGACAATTGCTTTCAACTCTATTTTTAAAGCATTGACCAAGAATTTTCTACCAAAATAAAAGAAACAAAAACTACTTGTAAGTAGGTTTACTGATTAATTTTCGAGACAAATAATTAAAATGTAACATAAGTATGTAATCCATCCCCCCTTTATCTATATATTTGCAATTTGTAAGTCATTCCTTTTTTCCTGTAAAATTCACCCAACTATGCCAAAGTGGTTGCACTACTAAGTAACATCTTTTACTTTGATAACAAAAGCTAAGACTAAAACACACATATATAAAAGACATTTAATAAGGAGAGAATGCATAAACTGAATAAAGAGCTGTAATTATGATAAATAGTCATAAAATATTAACTTACTACTCGAGCAACAAATAATGTTTTGTAAGGATCAGTTGTAGCAGCAGGATTACCAGCAGGGCTCCCTTTCAAAAAAAAAAAAAAAAAAAAAAAAAAAAAAAAGAGAGAGCACAAATTAATAGCTGGGTAAAAATTTAAATAGTGAAGCAAATCACATCAACACATAAATATGTAAAAATTTGTGACAACACACATATATGTTCTTAAGTTGACTTTCTTTAGTCAATTATCACCCAATTCAATTCTTTTTTTCACACTAAACTTTCTTGAAAGTTATTTGAATTTCACATTTTTCCTATCCCTGATAAAATGTACAATGTTTAAAACTGGTAAAGGAAATATACTGATGGTATTCTAAATGGTTTTCAACTAATAACAAGGTAGCCATACTTGTGAAAAATCTCAGCATTTTTCAGATTTCTTGTGCATTTCTTTGAAAAGAAGTGCATATTCTGGCCTTCACATTGTAAGATATTTAAACTTGCATATTCTGGCTTCACATTGTAAGATATTTAAACTAACTAATCACTGCGATTTAAGCCCTTAGTGCAACATCTTTCCGTATTCCTCAACAGAATGCAAATTAGGCTTATTTGTAGTTAAACTGAGGATTTTTAATTTTTAGATTACAGCTTCTGGAAGCCATTTTTTGCTGTTACTTACTCTCCTCTACTTAAAATTATATTCTGGCTTCAGCATCTTGATAGCCAATATTCTGAAACATGAGCCGGTAAAAATTCTGAGCGAACTTAATTTAATTCTTCTTCATGTGTAGTCTTCGACTATTACCCGCATTTGAAATTTAACATTCTGTTCGGTTAATTTAAATACCCACAATGTGGCAGAAGCTTGTAGCATAGACTGTGCTGTTCTGCTCAGTTTAAGACTAGATAAAAAGTTATTTTAAACTTCTTTGGTATTTGTGTTTTGCTTAAGATTAAACAATATCTCCCTAACAGTCTAGTAAGGTTTGCATGATTTAAATACAAGGTTCCAGTTATAGTAGAACTTTACAAAATTCATTTATAACTACAATCTGCTTTTAGATATTTAAAGTTGCAGATTAAAAAGCTGATGCAGGAATTTTACATTCCGAATTAACAATGAAATGGGAATTTAAGAAAATTATCATGCTACTACTGCCAGGTAAAAGCAAGAGTTAAGAAAATTCAGTGCTTGAAAAAATATTGTAGCAAAGTATAGATGCTCGTGATACTAATTTTAATGTTTGGAAGAAAGGTTATTCAAGATTTTTTAGTGTTCTAATGTTAAAGACATTTCTAATATTAATGAAAAAAGGGTTTTGGTACTTATGGGTTATATGAAAAACTGGAAGCTATGGAAGATACACATGCATAAAGGGGGGGGGCAATAATGTGCCAATAAATGTCTGTCTCTTTGTTCTTAACAACAGGCACAGTTGTTGAATTATGCTCACTTGTCTGACGTAGTCAGCCAAAGCCCACGGAATTCCTCGTGGCAAGGAGTACTAGAATATGCTTGTCGTTGGCAACCAGCCTTGAGCACCTTTCAGGTGACAGTGAGATTTAGCTCAGTTCCACCCCCAATTTTGATGGACAGTACTCTGGAGGAAAGGGGGGGTGTAAGAGGGTCTCCCACCCATCTGCCTTTCCACCAAACCACATGAGAGGACTTTTGGCTCACTGCATATTTAGAGTGCTACCATGCCGCACCGACACTATACATTTACAAACATCCATGCCTTCTCCGGTATTCAAACGCGGGCCCTACAGCACAGCAGTTAGCAACGTTAACCACTACACCGGTTGGGTGGCTTTGGCATAGTATGAAGCACATAATAAGCCTTTCCTCCTCTTAGCTTCAACATGAAGGATGCATAACCTACTACCCCAATACCTAGCTTTTTAAACAAATGCTTGGCTAAGATAACTACATAAAAAAGCAAACAGCAGTTTGTAACTAAAATAAGGAACCTTACTATTTCCTAAACAGAAAGTCTTTTTCCCTCTTTTTCTTTTGGTTTATTGCAAATAGTTTTGACATTATTTATGATGTGCATTATGAATTTAATCATTAATGCAAAAAAGTGGAAATGATTAATTTTCTTTATACAGCACACTGTGATATAAATCAGGGTTTCTGCTGAAATTCAAATTCTCATTTTCCAAAAAGAATATAATGAACCAGTTATTAAACTAAACATGAGTTAGCACTGATATATAGAACACTGTGATAAGAATCGGGGTTCCTGCTGAAATTCAAATTTCCCTAACCAAATGAGATAATTACTAAACTAAATATTGGTAAATGACTAGTTTATTTGCTATGAAATACACTGAAATACACTTCCCTCCAAAAGTTAAGAAACAGCTTGTTTTTTTTTTTTTTTTTTTTGTCTAATTTGAGAATGAAGCAACAGAGAAACTAGAAATTTAGAAGTTATATTCACTAAATAGTTCTGTGAATGTGACATAGAATGATTCTAAAATTCAATACAAACATGAATTACAACAAAAGATTGCACTCTTTGCAGAGAAATCCTGTCTTGGAGAAACAGTACATCAGGAAAAATGTGGTGGTAATTGTCATGACGTGATGACCACGCATGCGCAGTTCAGCCGAATGGCCTGCAACGCCTCTCTCTCATGAGACTTACTAGAGAAGAGTAGTTAGTAGGTAGTAGCGAAGTAACGAAGGAAACGTGTTGTATGTCAGCTTAGATGCAAGATACGAAGTTATACTTGTGTGGTAATCGTTTGTACTTATTATTTTTATTTGTGTGTTAATAAAGTTTTGGGCCGTTAAAATGGCTGTTTTATGTTTATGCAACGCACACAATACGATACGTCTACGGTAGGAAGTAAATACATATCCAGAAGCTACACGCCCAACAAAAAGAAGGATATGACAGTGGTGTCAGAACAGGAGGATATGTCATTCTGCAAAGTTCACGGATAAATGCGTAAGTGAGTCTTCAGAAAGGTAAGAAATTTGTTGAATTTATTTTGTGGTAAAGTGGAATTCAAGGTTACAAAAATGGCTGAAGAGCTAACGAAATCTAAGAAAAAACGGAAAGTTATTCGTTCAGCCATTACTAAAGTAACAAATGCTATTGAATCATTAATTGCAGCCGGTAACCTTGAAGACCTTGAAGAATCACTGGAAAGTTTAAAAGTCAAAGCTATTTCTTTGAGAGCGTTAGACGAAAAAATTAAAACTTTGACTGATGTTAATGACATTGAAACCGAAATCGAAAGTGCCTTGGAATACAAAGAAAAAATTGCGAAATGGAGCTTTAGAGGCACAAAATTATTGAAAGAAAAACGAAATAGCAATAATTCGCTAGTTTCTAATGGTTCTTCTAATGATGTAACAATTTATCTATTTCTGGTGTCGATAAAAGTTCTGATTATAATGTTAAATTGCGAAGATTATGATTGATAAATTTTATGGAATGCTGAAATGTGGCAGACATTTTACAATTCTTTTGATACGGCAATAAATCAAAACGTAAAACTATCTAAAGTAGATAAGTTTTAATTACTTGCTTAGCCTGTTAGGCGGTGCAGCTTTAAAAACAATAGAAGGCTTTTCTTTATCTCCAGAAAACTACGACGAAGCTTTTAAAATTCTCAAAGAGAGGTATGTTCGAAAAGATCTCCTTATTAATTCTTACATGCATAAACTTTTAAATTTACGGCCCGTCCGAAGTTTAATGACATTAATCTTGAGGGAATTATATGATACCTGCAACGTACAAGTAAGGTCACTAAATTCGATAGGGGTCAAGACCGAATCGTATGGAAAGTTACTATACCCTTGTTAATGAAATGCATACCTCAGGATATAACGCTTGAATTTGCTCGTCAAAACGCAGATGAGGAAACTTTTAATGTCGACAACCTCATGAAATTTCTAAAACGGGAAATTGAAAGTCGCGAACGAACTTCATTAAATTTATTTTATTCTAAGAGTCACGCTAATTCTCTTGGAAGGCATTTACAACCAAACGAAAAGTGAAACAACTTCCACACTCGGAATTCATTCAACGCCAATAAATTTGGCGCCAGCTATTTCCCTAATGTAAGCAAAATTGCAGTTGTTCGAACTTTCCCTTGCTTATTTTGCGAAAGCAAAAATCATACGTCGGAAAAATGCGTTATGTCTCCGGAAGAAAGGAAAAAGAGTTTAAGGGCTTCTAATCGATGCTTTCTTTGTTTCGAAAGGAACTGTAGAATAAAAAATTGCCCTTCTCAATTAAAATGTTCAAAATGTAATTCTAAGTATCATAATATATTGTTGCATGAAGATAAGGAAAGGGTTGCTAAAGAAGAAATTAAGAATAATTCTAATGCCATAACTGCAAAGATTTCTTCTAAATATTTTACTGCAAATCAAGAGGTTAAAGAATTAATAGATGGACTTGCCAACCGTTTAAAACTTATAATGTGATGGTAAATTAAGATGCAGTACAGATACAGGCACGCACTTAACCGTTATCAAGGCCGACATTGTACCAGAAAATACCGTACGCCACATGGAAGTGTTATCCTCACGTCAGCTTTCGGGCAAGCTTTAAAAGCTCCTCTCATTAACCTACCTTTAGTAATATATTCTGAAAATGATAAATTTATGTCACCTATTTTTATAACATGTGCAATGGTGGATAAGTTATGTAATGATTTACTCTTGTCATTAAGTGCTTTTAATGAGTTAAGGGGAGATGATAAAAGAAAGTTTAATTTTGAATGTAAAAATGTAAACATTGCTACTGATAGTTTCGGTGAAATGCCTTTTCAGGAAACTGAAAATTTTGATGAAATACTTAACCATGATAGGGAAAACCTAATTAATGAAAAATGTAATGAAACTGTTAAGAAGATAATAGAATGTTGTGCGCTTGTATATGAAGACACAGGTAAGGATGATTCCAAAGGTAGCACGGGACACGATCAATGTGCTTCGGATTCAGAACTGTTTCGAGTGCAACAAATGAATGACCCATCTTTAAAAACATGCTGGCAAAATGTTAAGAACGGAAGTAATAACTTTATTGTTATTGACAACTTTTTGTATCATAAAG